TTATCGCCATTGTGAAAATTGCGAACTTGCGAACTTAAAAACGCCACTCACCTATATATAGTTAGAATGATCACCATATATTGTACCCTCATCATACTATAGTACCCTCCGATCATTAGTATCCCCCCAATTTTTTGTAGAATGAAAATATCCAGGATACTATAAAACGCGCTTTACGGTAGATATTTTAAGGGAGTTGTTGATAGAAGGCTTTACAGCTGTGAAGTTCTTTAAAAAGTTCTAATTCACTTTTTCAATAAAAACAGACGCGGAAGACGCTTTATGTTAAGCCTTGGCTCACGTTTCCGTCGAAGATAACGCTGTGGGTAATTTGGCAAAATCTTTATTGGCTATCATTGACGTTCATTTAAAGGCAAGACGTACGGAAGATTTTTGGGCTTCTCTTTTCATATGAGAAGAAAAGAATAGAACTTGCAGACAAGAAGAACTGTATTTCGAAAAAAAGGTGAAATACTTAAATCCATACATGGATGATCTATGTAAATGGTTTTTTTTAATATAGCTCTACCAATTATCCTGTAAATCATCCAGAAACAAAAAGCTATCCATGTGTGGTCAAACGTTATAGATGAGCATCTTCACGCAAGCACTGAATCGACAACGGAATTTACCAAATTCACTGTAAGTAATTAAGGTTCTTATTTGCCTAGCAGACTTGGGCGTATATAACCGTTTTTTTCTGTGACTGTAGATGAAAGTGGAAAATCATGATAAAGCTGATACAACTGGATACCATACGCCAGAGCGACATACTACACCAGAAGATGACAAAGAAGGAGAAAGTTCACTCTACGATACTTTTCCAACACACATTCATAAGTGACCAGAGCCGAATCCCTTTTTACAAGGAACAAAGCGTGACTGAGATGGTGAAGAAGAAGAGGATGACGAATATAATGCGGACCAAACGATCATTGGTGGAAAAAGCACCAATTGGATTGTAAATGGGGTTCGTATCAGAGAAAGTCTGACACAATATCAACTTGACAAAAATTCGCCAAAAACGAAGTCAGAGTATTATGACGTTATTTTCTTAAATTCAAATGACAAGGACGGTTTCTTAAGTACATTAGATGAAAGTATCGTTGAACAGATGTGTAGTGACATAAGGATGAAAGAAGAAAAAACGAAAGATAATATCAAGCAAGATATTAAGATATTTCTAGATAACATTATTGATCGTGATATCAAAATCACTAAAGAAAAACTAAAACAACAAAAAGAAGAACATATTGCTTCATTTGAGAAAGTCTTTGCGTTAAAATTCGTGAGTCACATGTAAGTCTATATTACTTGATTTTTACCAAAAAATGTAGTAAGGCAAATGACTAATGAGACTAACCTTTTAGGATAAAACTAATGGATAATGTGAATTGGCTTATCGAACTGATGTCCGAGGGAACGTATATAGTTAACGTTTTAGCACCCATCCTCTCCGAATTCTTTACTAAAAATAAACAATATTGGTGTGCCTCATACGGAGAAACTTGTCTTAGGGCAAGTGCAATGGATCGCAATTCCAACAAGGCAGATAATGAACGCCGATCTAATGGAAATAAAATTGATACTATTATTTCCTTAAGAGAAGAGGATAAAGATTTCTCGGTTACTGAAGTGAGTGGCCCTCCGATGAAAAACGATTAGGTACATTTTAAGGGTAATCAGATGAAGATAACAAAAATGTTAAAGACTTTAATGAACCAGTTTGCAGAATTTAACCCAAGTTCGGATATTACATTGATCAAACTATATGGGCTACAGTCATATTGTAAGCTCTAATTTCTGAATTCCTCTCTTATTTTTGTTACCATTACTAACTCTGTGTTTTACAGTAAATGAGCTGACTATTTATGAGTTTCAACTAAAATATACAGAAATCTATACCATGGAAATAATATTAACATTTCCGTTACCTAAGACATGGGCGGACATGGCAAAGGCTCATAAAACAGTAATGGGATTGTTGGAGTATGAGGTTTGTATAAATGGGTCTCAGAAGAAATGAAATACAAAGATCACAAAACTAATACTCTCGATTTCTTGTAAATTAGCGTTTATTGCTTGAAAGCATGGAAACAATAAAAGACTTTATGTGAAGTAAAGGTGGATCTAAGAAGATGACTACGAGAATGATTAATTCTCCTACTGAAAGTGTCGAGAAAACTAAGAGCACTGCGACTATAAAGAAAACTAAGAGCACTATGACTGCAAAAAAACTAAGAAAACAAGGATTTAGCATTGAACAGTCATTATACTCAAATTATTTTGCATATTCTATATGAACACTTTATTTTTTATCTGTGCATTTCTGCAATCGTATTTTAAGTATTAATAGTGTAAGTGTGTAACGCATATGTGATGGTCTTCTGGTTTCAGCTTGTGTCCTGCGTCATGTTAACTTTGTGCATTGGAAAAACTTTAATTATAGAAATAAATATAAGCTACAAATGTACTATAGTAAAGGTTTCAGCATGAAATAAATCATAAAATGTATTATAAAATTGTCCGTGACGAATCATATAAATTTGAATCGTGATATTCATTAGTATATGTTGATAAAGAATTGCTAAAAATGCTAAAATCGATAAAATCGCAGATACAGTAAAACTTAATTCTAGTATCACTAATTGCATAAATTGTGTATATTCATTATGTCAGGATTCAGTATCGATATCTAGATGAGCGATTTAATAAGGTTGGTTTTATGAAAATATCGAGTGATGTATTAGATCATAGCGAGGATGATTAATTTGATTTAATGAAATGATAATAATGGTGGCTTAGCCATTTTTTCAAATACACATGATATGCCGATCATCCGTGATTTGAGAAACCACTCAGTGTCATGAAAGTGCCAGGGAAGTGTCGTAGAACTATCGAGGAACTGGCAGGGAACTAGGGGAGATCTCATGTGATACAAATTTTTATGTTATACATCATGCAAAACTCCTTCGGCTAATCCCTGATAATCATGAGAGATCCACAAACCACGTGTAAATATAAAATTAGCTTAGCCCGAGAAATGATCTATATAAATCTGATATGCTTGTAATCAAATAAAATGATTTTGGATTTACTAGCATGTAGTCTCTCAAATCGGCTACAAATCAACTAATCGCTAATCGGTAAATCCGTATAAATTTGAATGATGATATTATCTAGTATAAGTTGCTAAAGAATTACTAGAATTCGCTAAAAATGCTATAAATCACTAAAATCAGCGAAATTACTATAAACCACCTATACCCGTAAATGGTTAGAACTGACAAATATAGTTTAAATCCTGTAGTAGTGAAAGCATTAACTAATCTGCATTACAGATATTCTGATGAAACGCCAAAAATGTGGTGTTCCCGTATTTATGTTCCGTTTAAGAAACTTCTCGAATATAACTCAAGATTCTTCTCAAAGAATGAATAGATTCATATGACTGAAAGAGAATATAAAAATGGGGAATTTAGACTTGGGAAGCGTACATCTCACATTTATTGCATTGTATGTGATTTATTAGTATTTATCCTCAATAATACTGAGAAATATGCAAATAATCATCTGAATGAATGCATTGCCAGAATAGAGCAAAGGCGTGTCGTATATGTTAGATCTATATTATTAAAACGAAAAATTAAAAAAGGACTTAGTTCCGATGAGATTAATAAGCTTTATGGTGTTTATTTATCATACAGAAAAAGCTATGAAGGTACTGCTTCTAACACTCCTGAAGGGAAGAAATTTATGGAAAGAATGGCATATCGCATTTTAAATAGTGCAAAAGCTATCCAACAGGCTTAGTGGAGTTATAAGTTGGGACCTGAGACGAAGGCACAGCGAGTCTGGAATATGGTGAGAAATGATGATACTCCTGATAGAAAGAAATATTTAGGTATGATTAGGGAAAATCAGAAGATAATGAATCCCGAGATGCAAGAAGAGTATGCCAAAGCTTGCGATAAGTTTTATGTTTATTTTAGAAAATATTACTCAAAGTACATTGGAATAATCAATCCAGCCAAATTTACTCCATCATATGAGGAATATGTTTATTATTCTCCTGATAAATGAATAGAAGCTAAGAAACATCAGTTAAGATGACGGTTAGATAAGGCAGTATACGGACCTATTCCTGATTTCTCAGGAAGGTTTACGTTTGAATTGATAAGTACTATTAGCTATTATGAAAAGTACTATGTAGTGTTGAGAAATGGACCGGACACAGCTTTCATGCTGGTTAGGTGAACCTAGCTCACGAATGTCTGAGTGTCCAAGTCAAAAGATCCTAATACTGGTACTATGCATGGAAATAGACTTATTATCTTTCGATTG